TACAGAGAGTGGCTTCTATAAAAAAGAAAAGCAGTGCTTAGAGTGTAAATAAGAATTGAATTGCTAGTCATGTGAAGAAGATAAATGCCTAAGTTGCAAATAAACAAATGAATATATTCAAGAAGATGGCAGTTGTGCTATATGCAAGGAAGATGGATACTTTATTTAAGATAAATACTGTAAAAAGTGTAACTCTTTAGCTAAATGTAAAACTTGTATAAATAAATCTGAATGCTTAACTTGTTATCCTCCTGATAATTTGTAAAAAGACAAAACTTGTGGGTAATGCTTGTAAGGTTAATATTCTGAGTTAGGTCTTTGTAAATCATGCAAACCAGATTATAATTGCAAAACTTGTGAAAACGGGAATAGTTGTTCATCGTGTCCTGAGAATCTTTTTATAGATTTCTAAAATAAATGTTAAGATTGTAAAGGAGATGGTATTTTTATTGAAAAAACAACAAATTAATGCATGAAATGCAACGAATTAAAAAATTGTAAAACATGCGAAAATGTAAATGATTGTATTAGTTGCTCAAGTGGTAGTTATTTATATGATGATAATTCATGTAAACCATGTGGTGATGGATACTTTATTGAAGGAAATAGATGTAAAAAATGTAATTAAACGTCTTTATTTTGTGCTACTTGCTCTAAAATAGACTCTTGCGATAGCTGCTTAGATGGATATTATCTGGATTAAAATAAAATATGTGTCAAATGCGATTAAAATGGATAGTATAAAGAAGGAAAATAATGCAAAAACTGTGATCAAAAGTTAAATTGTTTAACATGTTCAAATGGAAATTCTTGTGAAACTTGTAAAGGTGATGACAAAATTCAAGAAAACTTAAGTTGTGCTCCTTGTATTTAAGGTTATTTTGTCGAAGGAAAATTTTGTAAAAAATGCTAAGAAACTTTTAAATGTTAAACTTGCTCTAGTTTTAATGCATGTGACAAATGTTTCCCAGGTGATTTTTTAAAACCTGATAAAAGTTGTGGAAAGTGTTAAGATGGCTTTTTCTAAAATATAATCACTAAAAATTGTGATCCA